ATAGAAGCAGAATGAGCTCACTTGGTCCACCAATGAAGGAAATCCTTGCGCCTGCTAATCTTCTTTTGTAGCTGCAAAAGTCCATAAAGCAAGGCCTCAGCTGTTGGTGGACAGCCAGGGACATAGATATCCACTGGAACAATCCGGTCACAACCTCGGACAACAGCATATGAATAGTGGTAGTATCCACCTCCATTTGCACAGCTTCCCATAGATATAACCCACCTTGGCTCAGGCATCTGGTCATAAACCCTGAAATTATATGAATACACAGATGTTAGGACATTCTTCAAGAACACACCAGTTGTCAGAACTTGCACGAGGGGAACTCTAGCCTCTAGTCAGTACTCAGTAGCCAATTCAATATAGAAAATTCTAGTCATCCAATTTAACTCAACTCTTCTCCAAAAGCCAAAGGAGTAACAGGATGGAAGCACAGAACAAAGGAAAGAACAGGGAAAGAGAACAGATACTGTGCCAATAGCCAAAACTAGAATTATGGCAATGGTGGACCTCAATAATTAGACTATATTTCCTTAAATATATGGCATCAATACATAGAATTCCTCCACATAAATTTCATAGAAAATATGGCTTCCATTACAAATATGCAGGGTTAGAACTACCAATCTCCATCACAATCATTGACAATTAATTTAGAACACCAAAGCATATTAAGCTTTCAGCAACTACTATCCCAAAAATGCACCCAAAGACCCTAAAGCAAACTTCAATCTCAAAGAAAGAGCATTCAGAAAACTAAAGATTATGTCAATAACACTAAACTACTGAAGGGTGAAAGAACGTGGCATAGGACAACAAAAGAATGCCCTTTACTAGATGAAACTCACGAAAGTAGGACAGAAAAAAAATCCACAAGATTTTGCAGCGTTGTTTGTAGTTAAGCGGAAGGCATGTTAGGACAAATAACAAGCTGTGCACTTGGGGAGCTTACTGATCTCTGAATCCTGCTTAATATCACCTTACCCAACTAGTCTACTTTAAGGAAATTTTTAGAAAGGAAGTTACAATCTCTTAATCCAGCTTCTGACCTGCCTCACTTCCTTGATTAACCTTATTCAGCGTTATCGCCAACTAGTTCAGAATTACTTGAGTGTTTCGGCAAGTAACCTATCATCATCAACCCTCAAATCCAGCTCATACTACACAAACCTACTGAGTTCTTTCAAGAAAACTACACACTACCATTACTACAAGCCAATGGAAGTTATGAAACACTAAACACTTCCTCAATCATAATTAAGGCTAACTTATAAGTTTCACCATAAAGCCCCCTCCCAGAAGAGAGAAATCATTCTGGCTCAGCAACAATGACACTCAACTAGCATCAATTACAACATAGATGCCTTGCTGCTTTGTATCATGCAGTTCCCAAAACAAATCCAGTTTAGAAAACACATTCACACATGCACACAACCACATATAGAGTGGGCAAAAATGAAAATGGCACTATAGGAAAGCACAAGGAGTGTGATACAAAATCAAGCCCTGGATGGAAAATATACAAGTTATGAAGGGGATATGAATATGGCAAGGGACTAGTGTATAAAAAGGCACACCTAGACGATTAGGGTGGGATGCTTATTTTTGCTCTAAAAGAGGCGCATTCAAAGAGGCACACATAAGCAAGGTTTAATATTGTGTTCTCACTTCAAAAGGCACACTGAAGCGCACCCAAGGCATGCAGCAGGACCCTCATCACCTCATTGCGGCATTGTACCTTGAGCTTATTTATACACTGCATAGGACAAACAATCAATATGCACCAAAATTCTGGCCTGGCCTTGTACGTATATTTGGAGGAAAAATAATAGACTCGGTTAAGGCAGCTCTCTTTATCAGCCTTTTTCAATAGGAAGAAAACATCATCAATTTCAGCATATATTCACAATTGCAGCCTTGCAGGAGCTAGTTTATCCAACCCACAACAGAAATTCAACAAATGAATAACAAGCCAACAGATATAATAATTGTGAATATTGCATGTAGAAGGTTTAGTAGGTTTTCATGTAACAAAAGGGTTCTCCCAATTCCAACATGTCAACACCAGGAGAAGCACCAACCTCATCAATTCACCATCAAAGATACCTATAATGACAACCCCAAACTTAAATCATCCCAACCACTTGCTATAACAAATATGAAGAGTTCATCCTATAATAAAATAATAGAAAAATCAAAGATCCCAACACCACACAGCTTGAGATATCTGGCAAAAGCAACTATGTTCAGAAACTTCGAAACACAGCTAGAGGAATGACCTAACAAGGCCTATTGCAATAATAGAAAGGAAAGATACAGAAAAAGCTATATTCTTCAATGTAAAGCTTCCCATCACAGACTAGAAAATAAGGGTCTGAATCATGTCTGCCTGGTTAATTATTCAACGAGAAAAACTACCATCTCATCTTAAAAGCTACAAACAGATTTGTCAAAAATGTTTGGCAGATAAAGAAACGCAACGCATCACATAAGCTCCATCCCTTATTTTGCCAAAAGACTATTCAGTAGATATACAAAATGATTAAAATAAAAAAAGTAAGTACCAACCTTGCTTAAAAGAAGTATACAGCATGCAAGGAACCTATCCCAAATATCTCCCCAAGTCCTAAAAAGTTTTCATACACGCAACACAACTAGTTCGTTCCAGAGCATCTGTCAAAATAGCTCAGTTGAGCATAACTTGTTCCGCTACCTACAGGCTATATACAATATAAAATTATCCTCCCTCCATAGGACCACAAATCATTGCAACCATGTTCTGAACTGCTTTATAGCCTTACAGCCATGCAAAAATTCTCACTTCTTCAATTAAATCACCATAATAATGTTGATTGCAATTTCAATCACCATTGTCCAAACAACAAAGGAATCCACAATAAACAAAGAAATTGGTATGTATAAAAGGGAAACATCCAAGTAAAATATCTTTTGCTTGAATATACAGTAACAGTGAAGGCAACATGTCAATATAATCCCATATAAAGCAACAACTATAATACTTCAACATAAACATATTCTCCCTTGCAATGCACTAATCTAAAAAATCTAAATCACTTTCTCATAAACAAACTAGTCCATCAAAATCATATCACCCAACTCATCAAAGCACCACAATGTTGGTAATTTTTTTCACTCGACTCCATGAACAATCAGCTCATGTCCAAAAACACGGTCCTCGTCTCGATTTCAGAATCATTCACAACATACATAATGAAAAACCCGTCCAATAATACATCCCAATCAAACAATTGATCATTGAATACCACCTTCTCCTCCTCAATTCCCTTAATTCTCCAAAATTAACAAACTTGGTTGCACAAAGAAATTGTCATGATCTCATTCCAATTCTCATAATCCCCAAAAAATTAAATAAAACTACCAAATACCCAATTGAAAAAATATCCTCAAAAACAACGCTGACTCTAGATTCTCTAATCACCCATTACACAAACCCCAAACAAAATTAAAACCCTAAAATCCCAATACAAAACCAACCACCCCACCAAAAACAATCAAACATATCATTCAAAAAAACCCTAAACACAATCAAAATCAAAACCAAAAGAAAAAGAAGGGGACATACTTGCGAAGAGCAGGAGCCATCTTATTAGTAAGAGTACCAGCAACAATCATACAATCAGATTGACGAGGACTAGGCCGAAAGATAATCCCAAAGCGATCCAGATCGTAACGAGCAGCACCAGTATGCATCATCTCAACAGCACAACAAGCAAGCCCAAAAGTCATGGGCCAAATGGACCCACGACGGGCCCAGTTCATGAGGTCATCAACCTTGGAAATCACATACTCCGCCGCCTTGGGGAGCGCGGGAGGTGGGGCTCTGGCGTAGGTGGTGGGTTGAGTGGTGGATGAGGCGGAGGAGAGAGAAGGGTGGGTGGTGTGGAAGGCGGAGGAGAAATGCGGGAGGGATTTAAGGGTGGTTGTGGTTGTGCGGGTTGCAGCGGCTCGAGCTAGGAGCGCCATTGTTGAGGAGGAGAGAGAAAGAGAGATGGGAGAAATGGGGGAGGAGAGAGAAAGTGAGTTCTTTAAATTAGGAGATGGGGAAATTGGGTCGGTTAATTTGTTTACTATGGAGAATGGGAAATTTGGATTATCAGGTTATGTGGGATGGTTAATTTGGAAATTTGAGTTGACGGGTCATCGTTCAATCCATTTATATCATCGTGTTATGTGTGTTGGTTTCGTCGTTTTGCATTGAAATTTTCAACTCAAATCTAACCCGGTTAATTTCTTGTCGGGTTTGTGTCGATCAAATTATGTGAACGGGTCGAGAATTCTTGACCCAAACCTGCCTATTTTAGGTCGGGTTTGTATTGAAATAGCATCGTGTCAGCTTTTGATAAATCCTACCGGATATATTCCTTGTAAGTTTTGAATACTCCATACAAAATACAAGCAAGTTTAATCAAGTTCGAGTGACTTCAAATAAGTGAAAAATCAGGTAATAAACACATGCTCTTAAATAATTTGTAGTAGTAGATGTTTTTATTGATTTACCAGTTCAAAGCGAATAGATTCCAAGCAGTGACACTATAAATGAAAATAACATCCTTAAAGATGTGTTTTATTCAGCTAATTTTCACGCTTTAACGTAATTGTAAATTGAACTTGATTGTCTTGTGCAGAAGCTGCCCACGCGTTGCAAAATTTTAGTGTATGGAAAGTTCACACAGTACATCTAACCATATGCATCATCAAAGTAGTTGAATATACTAATCTTCATAAAGAATGCTCGCTCCAACAGCCACAAAAATATATCGATGTAAAACTCTATTAGCCACAAGAATCAAGAACATATGCTTGAACCGGTGGATCTCTCTTGTTCATCCTACTTACGCATGGATGTTGACCCAAAATCTTTGCTTACTTTTATACGAATACAAGAAAATCAAAAAAAGCTAGAGAAAACAAAAGAGGTATAGAAGAAATTAAATGAGAAAGTACAATATGAGTAATAATTATCACAAACTCTACAAGTTTAGAAAAGAAAAACGTTACTCGTAGTACTTTTAATATCATTATACAACAGCAAATTTAGGAACAAAAGGCATAACAAAAGAATTGGTTAGCTGGTAAAATGACTATAATAACAGTAAAAAAACATTTTGCAGAAATCCTAAAACGCGCTAATAATTCAATAATAACAATAATACAAAGGGCGGATGGTATTGATGAACCTTAAGAGCTCCATAATAGCGAAATCTGCAGTTGAAGTTCGATCTCATGTCCACAAGCATCATCACTGCCAAAAGAGACATTCTTGTCGTATCTACTGTTAAAAAAACTTTCTTGTAACTTGTAACTTTTTCTTTTTCATCTGACCTAACAGCAGAGGAAAACCATTTCGGGCAATCCTGCTTCTAACATACTGCAATCTATAGAATTCTTCATTCCGGGATTGTTCGTGATCACCATAAAAAATCTTCTAGTTCAAGATGAACAACTTTATTTTGCAGAAGCACATTGCGCTCCAAGAATATCTCTAGGCATAATACATATACAGGCTGTTAGCAGCAGCACATGCAATTGAGTTTTCGGTGGGGTGCCACGCTAAATGAAGCAACTTCATGTTGAAATCAAAAGCATTTCCATTTGCATCGCTTCCAGGACTCTCCGATCCTAACCAAAGAGAAGCAAAGCATACATTATTAGTAAACAGCACTTTCACAGGACAGGCTAAACGATTATAATTTGAAAGGGCTTGATTTGAATCTCTGCAGCCCAGAACTGTCAGCTTATTTTTACAAAAAGAACAAGAAAAGAAGGTGCGGTATATCATCGCACAATCTATTGACAGCTGACAATGAATGATATTCAAACCAGGGAAGGAATTTTGACCATACCCATCTAGCGTCTATACTGTCTACATCACCTTGATAAAAAGTGAGCTTATCAAAAGTTCTCTTTAGGGGCAACCATGATCTTAGATGCATCAAGCGTGGTAATCCAGCTCGTATAATGAATGGGCTGAGCTTGATCTCACTAACGTTAGGTTCAACTGATTATGATGCTATATAAACTTCTAAACCTTTAACATTACTAATACAATTTTTTTTTTTTACTGGATGTTCATGTGACTATTATCTCAGGGTAGAGGGAGTATAAGCTAAGTTTGAGCTTCATAGTCACATAGACATAGTTCCCAGTTCAGAATTCTATGGAGTTGTGTGAAGAATTGCAGCCCCACCTTAGAGGCACAATAAGATACTTATGAAGAAGCCTTAACTTTAATCTGTTTAACAGGATCATGGTGTCTGCTACTCTGCTTATTTGCTTAAATAAAGGTCTACATATAGTAAGCTTCATAAATAGCTCCTGTAACTAGATAGTAGCATGTGACAATTATTCTCGATGTGTGTGTCTTAATGATAACACAATTAAACTACACAGTACTAAAAAAGTGTCAAATATGTACAGAACTGCCTATGACAATGGTTGTATTCACCATCTCTGCTAAATGAGACCAACAAAGTTGTTGTATCAACCACCTCTAGTCCTCTACTATATGAGACTTCAAGCCACTGGGAAATATATATAACCAACAGATTTTCACAAGTTATTTCAGCAAAATTTAATCCCCAATCTAGAGTTTCTAGGAACAATATATGTCAATACATACCTTGCCTCGCACCACGTGTAAAGGTGCCAGTTCTTGAGGGTCTATGGTTTGTACTTGCTGGAAGTTGCTTCCTGAAAATAACAAGATTTACCCAGTGAGGAAAATTCGAACAGCAACATAAAAGAAGTGATTGACTTGGCAATTGAAGCCAATTGCAGAAGTTTATTCATTATGTCTAAAAAGAACATTGCGAAAATATTTTTAGGAATCAGACTTTTACCTCATGGGGTTTTTGCTGGCTTCCAAGGTTGAGGCTTCTGTGCTGCCCGAAGAGCAGCCAAAAACACGAAACAAATTGCTGGTAGTGGAGAATATTTTTAGCATCAAAATGGCATCAATACAATAAAGCATTAAAATGAAGGGCAGTACGCCATGCAATGAAATTGATCACCTGTAAGAACCAGTTGCGGCTCGCAATCCATCTCCACTCAGACAGCACTCAAATTTGTCAAAAATGGAATCATTTTCATACAAATCACAGAGCTGATAACAAAAACAAATTGAACCCAGCAAGATTAGCAAACTAATTAAAGGCAGACAAATAGGAAGTTTAAGATGTTTGACTAACACGAAATTGAACAAGACGGATACAAGAACTAACCCTTGGTCTCAAATGTTCGTGAACCTGGAAAGTTGCAACAGGCCCAGAATCCATATTTATATCCCATAGCTGAAAAAAAAGGATAGATGAAAGAAGTCTTAAGCTAATAAAATCTGTTCAGGGTTGATCATTAAACTAATCTTTTTACTTTTATTATTAGGAAAAACAGAGTTCAATATACTTGAAACAAAGTAATGTCTCTAAAGAGGACCAGGAAACAGGAATCCTTCCTAACAAATAATATTAATAATAAAAATACAAAAAAAAGGAAAAAAGGTGGACCAATTGTGCAACAGATCAGTCAAAGTGATTCCAAGAAAAATCCCTACTTAGTTTAAACAGAAGTAATAAAAGAAACTCGACACCATATTCTGCCATTTCTACCTATTTGCGGTTTCATAATCGGGCTGGGTCAACAAAAACCAAAAAATAGCAAGAAAAAGCATAATGAACCAAAAATATATACTACTTACCCTCAAAACCAAACACAAATCAGACAAAGGAGATACACTAAAAAGTTCATCAATGCCACTTCTTTCATAGCAGCTTCAATAACATTCAAAGGCATTTGATGGCTTTATAATTTTTTTGGTATCCTAGCTTCAATTGAGAAGAGACCAAAATAGTATTCTACCTTGTTCATACTACTTTAGCTAATTCATGCTTCATAAGATATCCTAATTTAACAGGTATCACATATAAAAGTAATGCACACATGGTTGTTAGGATTCTGGTCCAGATCTTATGATTCTACAATCCAGAATCAAGTCACTGATCCGGATCTTAAGAAGGATCTTCATGTTTGTAGGATTGGTAAACACTTGTAGTGGTTGGATCTTAATACGATTTCACGATCTTCGGATCCAACATACAATGATAACTTCAGACGATAAACCATTTTTACATTTTTATTTTTTAACAGTATAGTTCAAATTCACATATCATTAGACTTATTATATTATTGTTGGCTGGAAATAAGACAAATTCAACTCAGATCTTCAAACCAGTTTTACTAAACCCCCTACCACTTGGATCCAAAGATAAAATTTGGATATAAGACTGCAAATGAAAAAAAAAAAAAAAAAAATGATAGATACTTCATATATTATAAGAGTCGCATAGACAAAGTCAGGATTCTCAGATCAAGACAAAGTCAGGATTTTCAGATCAAGACAAAGGACTTAGCACTGTAAAGTAGGCTGATTGTTTGCCTTCAAAAATACAGCATTTAGCTTATATACCACTATACCAGCCCTGGCAACTGGGAGAGACTATCATCCTTGTACCTCATTCGGTTAGCAACCAATCCTTCAAAAAATTCTAATTTTTGTGCATGTTATAAATTTCCACAAAAGTAGCATATAACGTTTAATTTGGGAGATAGGTCTCACATACACTGGCTTATAAATTGTGTACTTTACAAAAATTCTCACCAGATTCACACAGATTTTTCCTGATAACATGGTTGGTACTCTAGTTGTATGATATTAATTAATCAATTTATTCTCCTACGCAACTTTCCCAACATAGGAGCATACCCAAATAACCACAAAACTCAGGCAAATTTTTTTTCTTAAGAAATAAGATGCTGTGAAACATGCAATGCTAAGGGAAATTACTAGTCAGCCTAAAGGAATGAAGAAGTAGAAAAATATGGACCTTCAGAGACATATAGTCACGACTGAGCATGTATCTACCATCTTTTGCAAATTTGACATCTGAAATTGAGGCAATTATCTCAGTGAAAAAGGATCTTGAACCAGGAGTCTCATGCACCTCAAACCTGTACGCGTTGGATAAAAAGTTTATATAGTGATGATTATGATGATATTTTTATATTTTGATAATTCAGAGCAGCTAATTTATATAGTGACGATTATGAAGAATTGAAATATCTCTCACAGCTTGCTATGACTATCGCATAAAGCAGACTGCCGTAGGTCAATTAGTCGGATAGAACCCTTTGAGCTACTATAGGCTAACGTATTGCAGTGGGTAGGGTGAAATTCTGCTGAAGTTATCACCTCTGCAAGAAAAAGCTCAAGCATATCAGTTCCAGAATATAGCATTAAAAGTCATGCGTATCTTCAAAGTAAGAAAACATTTCTTTTATTAATCAGAATTATTCATCTGCAGAAATGTTTCAACTATAGGACGGGTGGAGGTAGGCAAGTTCCTAGATGGACATTTTAAAAAAAAAAAAAAAATAGCAAGTATAAAATGTTTTTTCATATTTCCCACAGTCAAGTGCAGGAAACGATTTCCTAGTTGCCACAATGTCTCTCGCTATATTAATTTCACTTTTCTTACTTTAAAAATATAAAAATAAAAAATAAAAAATAAATGATTGACTTGAAAAGCTAGAGTACAAGAATCTTAATTGTTCTTTTGTAGAAAACGTAGATAAAATTATGAAGAATAATTCATATACTTGTACTCTGTAAATGCAAAGCAGGAAAAAGGCAACAAAAACAAAATCAACAATCCCGGGAGGATCCCACTATATGTAGTGTCTAGGAAAGAGAATATAAATACAGCTTAACCCCTTACCAATATAAACTGGTTGTACAAAGCAGAGGGAACTTACTAATAGAAAGAGAACACTTAAAGACTGCATAAACTGATTGCCTTCGGTTCATAAATAAATACTTCATACATATTAAGGAGCATGTACACTAATCATCTTACAATCCCAAGTAATCTTTATTATAAAGTGGAGAAAGAATAGCTCATTGGGAAAAAAAAAACTTGTTTAATCCATCCTTAAAGAGAAGGTTAAAAGAGAAAGAAAATGCAATTAGGCATGCAACAACGCTTGAGAATGGTGAGATTTCTACCAGTTAGATCCTCCATGTTTGCAGGCTTAACATCAACAATATTGAAACTTTGACTGCTAATTTCCAAGTTCCAGAGATTTATGCGGAGGTCATCAGCCGAAATAAAGGTCTCTCCATCACTAAAAAAAGAAAGAAGAAAAAGTGATGTTCCTGAATTTGAAGTAAACAAAGTAACATAAAGTTTATAAACCAAATTACTTGAGGCAACAGGCACCGAATAATAGAGTTTAATGCTTAAAATCCTAATAAACCTAATCAAGAAGGATGAAATGCTTCAAAGTTCAAACAGAGGTGTAACAGGGGTCCAGACCTTTGGGTGTGATTATGATTAATGAACATTAACATTAATAACTATGAATATGTAAACAAAATTGATCTCTTGTAATCCTCAAAGTGGCATTCATAAAAATAAAAAAAAAATAAAAAATAAAAAAACACAAACCTGTTATTTGAAATAGAATTGATGTGATAGTCGTGGGCATGACCATATACTCTTCTACAACTTGCCGTAAGACTTGTTTCTTGACTAGTTACCTGGAGATGAACTTGAGAATTGGTAAGCCAAATAAAGAATAGCTTGCCAGGTTAATATAGTCATAGTGACTCCTTAATTAATGCATTTTTCTTATAAATATTACAAGAGTCTATTATAGATTAATTTTCAAAAAGATTAGTGCAAATCCTGTATTAGCAACCACTTTATTTTAAACAAGAATCAAATCTGCCTAATACATTAAAATACAACTACCGTGGGTAAGCGTAGTGATGCAACGCCTCCAGACGGGAACGAAAAGTCAGTGCTCAAACAATTGGTTGGTTTGACATTAAATCCTCCATTTGGAATGCCTTTGGAACCTGTCGAAGAGCTACTTCGTTCAATCTTTGATGGATCCACATTCACACTGCACACTTTCTTGATTTTCTTCTCTTGGACCTGTCTCAAAGAGACAACTACAGATTAGAGGAATACAATGTTCTGGTCACGTGCATGATTGGTGTGACAATATGTTACATTCACACGGTGCCATTATGCAGCTTTAATTCTAAGAAAAATCAGTATCCAAAAGAATATAAAAATAATGCACATCATATAAATATTCCATACACAAGATTAAATCATCAAACTACATCCCAACACCAAAGTTGTTCAAGATGAGTAGGCATTAGTAGTTTAGTACTTTAGATGACAAGATGCTCATAAATTATAACTCTTTATTAGAGATATACATCCTTTACAAGAACAATTACAGTTGATTGCAGGTCAGAACACCTCAGTACCACAGTTTTCATGTACAACCAGTAATTAGCAACTGGAAACCAATTAGTCTTCTTTGTTACCATCCAATCTAGTTTTAAAGTATTGACTGACTTAATAGGTAGATCAGGCCCATTCTATATCAAATAGTAACTCTCCTGAAGATATCTCGAAATTTTTACATGCCACACAGTAAGTCAGTAACCACAAATAATTTCAGATTGCTACACTTTTCTATTCTAACATCATAATGATTCTTAAATCAAGTACACTTCACATGGACACGAGACACAAAAAAAAAAAAAGAAAAAAAGAAAAAAAGAAAAAAAGAAAGATAATACAGCTAATATCTTCATCCACAGAAAGTGCCTAATTTTGAATTCGATAGTAATCTGTTAATAGACAAATCCTATGATAAACTGCAAAGAGAATTAGCAAGCAAGTGTTTCCATACCTTCCAGAATTTGATGGTTTTGTCATTAGTGGAAAGAAGAAATAGTGCGCCATTAGCCATCTGACACCATCTGATCTTATTAATTTTCTCTTCAATCTCTAAACTCTTTAGGTAGTCAAACTGAAACCAAAAAGTAAATATGTGGGCTTTTCCTGCAAAATTAAGACAACAAGGAATAGAAACAAACATCAACTATGACAGCTGATTCAATGAAGATACATACCTCTGGTTCATGGCTCTGAAACTCAGTCTGATAGCGAAACTCAGGATGCCTACTAGGTGAACATTCCATCTTCTCAAGATCTCTTCTAGGTCCACCATGCTACATATCATATGATCACATTATATATAGGTTATAGGCCTCAACATGTGATTATACTAGAAACAAAGAAAGTTACTTTGTGAATCAAACAAGCATGACTGCACTTACACCCTTTCTGTCGGTTCTCTCAAACAAAACAACCCGACCCCCACGATCTCCAGTAGCAAGATGGTCCCCAGTCTTGTCAAATTCAATAGCTGATATAATATCAACTGCAAGGAGAAAATTACATGTAAATTAGATCCACTGAGCAGACAATATCACAATATCATTAAGAATTTAAGATGATGTATCCTGAGTCTACCACAATCAGGCATGGGAAGCCTCTATATGGTCAATTCTTATGTTTCAATTTAAATCTAAATGAGATGCAGCCAGCCTATGCCACAAATTGCACCACAACAGCTTTGCACAATTGCATCTCATTTCTTGCAAATTTATCCAAAAATATACGAGTGATGACCAATATAAAACAACCAGCTCAGAAGCTGCCACCGAGCATCCACCAAGATCAGCACATTCTCATTTAGATGCCATATTTTGTCACCTTATGGCAACAAAATCATAAGATACACTATGTGAATGGTGTCGAATCTATAAACCTCAACCAATCATATATACATCAGAAAATTTCACAGCTCAGCTGAGTATGCAATTCATATGTATGCTTTTACACTATCAGTAATCCTGTAGTGTGCTGATAGAACAGTTCTGTAAACAGTAATGTCCATTTTACATGATTGCCATCATAGAGTCTGAAGGTAGCAAGTTACATATCTTTATTGTAACAAGCATAGGATAAGATAGACAGCAGAACTGCAGAAGGAACATCCAAAATCTGCATAACTAAATGCTTAACAGTGCATGAGAAACTATAGACTCCAAACATAATTACCGTCCAGATTATTTTAAACTCCATTTTTCCCTTTACAAATGTCCATCTCTTGATTCATGGATCTTCTTGTAGATAAACCCGAGATATTTATCCACCTAATAGGCAACCATATATCAATTTCAGGGAAATATATTATGTGAAGGGGGCAATAGAAGTCAAATGACATAAGAAAAAGTTTATCTTTAAAGGATAGCTCAAAAGAAGGATTAGGCCTCTTTTCCTTCATTAAGGTATTGAAAGAGAACCTACCTCGCATGCTAAGACCTTACATCTTAATAAAACTTTCTTAATTTTCCCTCCTTTTGGTTTAGTTTGAGTCCTAATTGTTCTTCCATCACTTGTCACCAGACAATGCACATTGTGCATTCTTCTAGTTATGTAAGAATACTAGGACCTCAACAACATACTCTTCAAAATAACAGCAGTTAAGATAGATTTTAATGCCTAAAAAATTGAAATGTTTCTGAATTTGAACCGAGGAAATTATGATAATGCCAAAAGTTGAAATTGGTGGTTCCCTGTATGTTTCTTCTTTGTTCAAATGGGATAAGTGAGTCTTTTGAATGGCTTGATGTGCAGCAGCAGAGAGAAATATATATATAGTTCTATAATTTCTGAACAATACAAATCAATGAACCATCCACTGAATGTCTGAATAGCAAAGCCAACAACCTATTCTTAAAACAGATAGACTCCCCTCCCACCCTAACTGATATTGTTGATACCATTAAGCAGAGCAACTTGTAGAGCTCCTCTCCACTCTTTTCTACATAGATGCACGTCATGATTCTCATGAATTTTCCACTTCCTATGAAAATATTGGAATAGCAATAGCTTTTAGTATTTGACTTATTACAGTTATACCAGAAGACAGACTATGTGCGTTTGATATTCCCACATAAATTTTTATCATGGATTGATTTTAGGAAGTGAACTCAGTGTCAGAATGAACATAACTCATACTTCTATAAAAATAAACATTTCATTTATGAATCATTTCTTGATTTGGAGATAACAGGATCTCAGGGTTCACTCTATCTGTATACTCCATAACAAATGGCCAAAAGCACTGACATGCTCATTAATTCTAAACACTAGTCACAGCATCTTAGCAACTATAAGCACCTGGATAATCAAGGTCAGTTAGGAAATTAGACACATATTTCAAGTTGAATGCACAAAAACCTAAACAGCCTTCTTACTGCAATAGCAGGCTGCAGAACAATGGCATAACTAGACATCTTTGGGGGCTGATCATACATAAATCTATGCTTAAAGAAAGTTTTGGCCGACCTCTAGTCCTCCACAGTCCACACCATGATTCGTTTTTCTAATAAGTATTTCGACTAATCCACAAGAAAATTGATGTTTAATTCATAGGCAAAACAACAGCCAGGGTTGATCAATGATGTGTGAAGGTCTAATGAAGAAAAAAATCAGTCTCCTCAAATCAGCATTTTCCATATCTTCCAGTGTTACCCAAGCTAAAATCTTGCCCCAGATAAAGGCAGATAAGTGCAGTTTAGGGGAAATTGTGAACCGAGACTCTTGCCCCATGGGAGACATTAGATCCTCACATTTTATGCAGAATTAGCAATTCTGTACACAGTACAGCAAAAGCAGTCATCGTTACACAAAGCCTAGATAGAGGAAATTATTGTTAGTAGTAACTCGGTATGCATCCTCCGCCATAATCAATCAATTTCCAAAATTAAAAACTCTACTTGTAACAAATTTTACCTCCAAAGTCCAAATCCATAAACAACAAATGCACCATAATTGTCACCAAATCCATATCACGGCCCTTTTAAAAGAATAATGATTCACATACACTAATTAAATCTAGTGGATTACAACTAGCTTAGTTGGTATAATACGGAAGACCTGGAATCGAATCTCATCTACATCATTCCATTCCCTTTGCGACCAAGATACACATAACAAAAAAAATACTAATCCAATGTCAAACATCAAACATTTATGTTTCTAGAGAGCTTTACAGTCTACATTCAACTACAAACACAGTGAAAATGCTAAAATCACATAAAACATGAAATAAAAGTTACAAAATCACAAAAATGACAAACACCCAATTATGAGTTTTACCATTAAATGATTAAAATAAGATTAAAGATCTAATATACCTTCTTGAATCTCTTCACCAGCAGTTCTCTCCCCAAATACTTGAGAGAACTTCCAATCCAACGGCGGCTGCGGCAACCCCATTCCTATATCGCCGCCGCCACTGCCACCACCACCGCCACCCTTCATTCTTAGATAAATTTTCTGATCAGATTCACGATCAAAATCAACCAATTAAATAAAGGGTATTGCATGAATAAGCTGATCAAATCCCTTGATTCATGATAAATTAGAAACTTCCATTCAAGTTCCAATCTTTTTCTTTAATCTCTGCTCAAATGGGTTCAAACTAATATACCCAATAGCCTAAAGAGAGAGATAAATCAGATTTTTTTTCTTCTTTTTTTCCTTTTTTTTTCTGGGTTTTTCACAATCTCAATGATGAACGATCTCAAAGGATTGAAAGATTCCCAAAAGCTACAGACACAGATAGACACACACACTTTCTCTCTCTTTGTGTTTCTCTCTCTAAATATATAGGTATGTTGCGGGGTCTTTGTTAGTGTGAGAGAGTAGTGTAACCTGGTTTTGACAAAAAGTAAGGGAGTGAACGAACCAAAAAAAATTAAAATAGTTCGGAGATAAAGTGATATGTTCCTTTATGATTTGATGTTACATCTTCTTGTTGTTTCGATTTTATTTAGCAATCACTTGTTTGGTGTTTGTTTTCTTAAATTAAACTTGTTAGTAGTAATGAAAGTGTATGTGTCGTTAACTAAATAATCTATTCATTGAAACGATTTCAATAAGTGTATATAAGATCATATTACCTTCGTTACAGATTATGTGCAACGATTTGACATAAATCAGAGAAAGAAAATGTCTAATCGTTGCACATAACCTGTAACGGAGGTAGTATTTTTATTCTTCACTATAAATCACAATGGGAGTCAAGTGAATAGTGTAAAAAATGCTAATAGGGTACTTAAAAAAGAAAGGGAGTTAAATAAGAATTTAAAATACTTTAGTAAAGTAATTATTTTAATTTAATATTTTTAAATTTAGTTATGTACTCCCTCCGTTTTTAAATACTTGCTCCATTTCTCTTGCACACGAATGTCGATGTTAATCTTTGATCAATGATATCTTAATTATCAACAAGTATAAATTCTAACAATTGAAATTTAATAATCTATTCATTGAGATGATTCCAACAAGTACTCACAATACTATATTTTTTCTTATGTATAAATCACAAACATTAGTTAAAGTAAGATAAATGAATAGTGTAAAAAATAGAAATGGAGCAAGTATTAAAAAACGGAGGGAGTATTTATGTTATCCAACGCCTCTAAGACATTCGTTAACTTTTGCCTTATAAAAATATTTTGAAATAATCAAACATGTTCTTCATATTATATAGTACTCCCTCCTTTCTCTCTCCATAACCCTAGCCTCCATTGTTGAATTTTGAAGGGGCTTCCATCGATTTTAATCGTTGAAAAGCCTTGATCCTTGTTTCTTTATTGTTTTTTGTAGGTTTATAATAATGTTTCCTCCTTTTGGTAGGAACTTTTCTCCCTCGAAAAAAAAGGGTTTTTGATCTCCTTTGAAAGACAAGGGTTTTTCGACCTCATTCGAAAGACAAGGTTTATCTCCTCTTTTCAAGGGAGAAATTTCTTGGTTTTGAATCCATGGTAACAGATCTAATGGATTGTCGTGAAATTATTTCGTTGGTGAAAAATTTATCAAGTTTTCGAATACGAACAGATGAATCAAAAGGAAAACATCCTCACGACTACAAAGGATCGTTAGATTGTCTCTCCAACAAGGCTGTAATTCTCAGCGATATAAGCGGGAGATGCTCCGCAGTGCAAAATTTACTCGACGATAGTAGTTTTTATGAGGGAAAATTCTATTTTATCCAATATCTTATGTATTTGTTAGCATCGAATCTCTATTGTAAATGTCGTATGACTTTTAATTAATGAAATATTTTTGCTATTGAAATATATATATATATATATATATATATATATATATATATTACTCAGCTTATCATTGTCTTGGAAAATTACGGGAAAGATAACAATGAAAATTTGGGACAGAGCCAAACAATTGACACAAATTTGCAATTTGACTAATTCTTTTTAAGCAAGTTCATCACCGCATCAATAATATTATTTTTAATAAAAAAAATGTAGTACTACTAGTCACATATTATAAATTGTAATGCAAATTGTAAAAGTCTATAAGATAAGAAGCTATTGATATGAGAAAAAAGGTAAAAAAAAAAAAACACAAGATAGAAACCTAAAAGAGTACTGTCGTATATATTTGGATGCTTGACTATGGAGTACATTAATATGTTTAATGCTTTGTTTGATTCAACTTATTGTTTTGTATGTGTATGAAATTATATTGACTTGTACAAATAAATAGTGAATAAATAGGTTGCTTTATGGAAGTCCTAACAGGGGGGATTACTCTTCGGCTTGGTTGCGAACGATCTCAATATCGGGTTTGGGTCAGACTAGGAATGGTAAGACTTATCATAGTGTTCTTTTATTCTCCGTTTCAACACCGTATTCTACTTGCTCAAGGGTTTTTTATGGGGATATTTATGAGGATCATGCAGTATCTTGGGCTGGGATGGTGGGTATTAAATATCGGCACAGCGGTGTTTGTGACACCCTTGTTGATATTTGTTTTCGGTCTGGGATTTCTGCTCGAAAGTGGGTTAACGTTGGGTTGAATGGAGGGAACGACGGGGTTCTACGACCAGCAGATGTGTTGCTTTATTCCCGGGATAGAGGCCTTGATGTATGTGTTGACTTGACGGGGTCTTCACCTTTGACACAATCGGGGTTGTCTGACTTCGTTCCTGGTCATGTTGTGTCGGCGACGACTCAGCGAAAGCGGGACAAGTATGGGGTACGTTGCAGGGCTATTAGCTATGGTTTTCTTCCTTTCTCCTTTTCCTCTGACTTCGTTCCTGGTATTGACTATGGTTTTCTCCTTTTCTTCCTTTCTCCTTTTCCTCTGCACAAATAAGCTTGCATGTTGTTAAAAAAAATTTGTTCTCTAATGGTAAGCATGTAACTAGAGTGCTAGACATTTTATTTATATTGCAAGCAAGTCCTTAATATGAAACCATTGAAGTTATTCTAATATTTCTTAAATTTCTTTGAAAACTAAAACACTTTTTTTAAAGATAAAATAGTTTAATATTATATGAACTTTTTTTTTAATAGCAAAAATATTTCATTAATTAAAAGTCATACGTAGGGGTGTTCAAAAAAACCCGACCCGATTTCCCGTAGACCCGGTAAATACCCGATGGGAAATTTGGGGAAAAAACTGTTTTTTTTTTGTCGTGTACCCGACCCGGAAAAATTGCCTGTTATCCGGGTCGGGACATGGGCTGCTTTTTTAATTATCGGGTACCCGATTACCCGATATCTTTTAGGAAAAAAAAAACCTCCCTCAAAATAAGCCCAACCCATTTAGAGTTTAGACATTCAGAACACCCCTAGTTAGGGTTCGTTCCGTGCCTCTCTCTCTCTTCTTGCCCCTCTCTCTCTCTCCCTGCATCTCGCTCTCTCGTTCCCTGCCTCATCTCTCTCTCTCTCTCTCTCTCTTCCTACATCTCTCTCTCCTCCTATGTAGCCGTGAGGATTTTTTCTTCTGATTCATATGTCTGCATTCGAAAACTTGATAACTTTTTCACCAAAAAAATAATTTCACGACAATCCATTAGATCTAATATCATGGATTCAAAACTAAGAAATTTATCCCCTGAAAAAAGGAGATAAATCTTGTCTTTCGAAGGAGGTCGAAAAACCCTTGTCTTTCGAAGGAAATCAGAAACCCTTTCTTTGAAGGTAAACTAAAATAAATTAAGTCAAACAGGGCCTATATTTTTTATTTATCATGAATAAATAAGGTTTTTGTATCTTTACGGATTATATGTAAATATATAATACACTCTCGATCTAATTTTATGTTCAAGATTGGTGCACGTTTCACGGTGCACATTTTTATTATTAACATCTCTAATTCTCTATAATCGAGTAAGGGCTTATTTGGGCTCATCTTATTTTTGCTTCTCTGATGTGATTAGGGGTGAAAGTTCGGTTTGCGGTTTGGATTATAACCAAAACCGAATCCAATCCGAATTAATTCGGTTTCGAAAATCTCAATCCAAATCCAAACTGAATTAAGATTTAATCCAATCCAATCCAAACCGAATTAATTTGGTTTTTCAAATTGAAATCCAATCCAAACCGAAATTTGTTCCCTACTTTTGCAACATTCAAATCCGAAACTTGAACTTTACCCGAAAATTCCTACAATCATTTCTTGTAAGCTACATTCTTTGTGAGAGGGTAAGATATTGAGAAAGGAGAATTGATAATTAGGTTTTTTTTTTTAAGTTTATATATGAAAGGGGAAAGTGGTTGGATACTTTGAAAAAGAAAATGGGCTTAATGTATTGGGTCAAAATTTGGTTTGTAATTCGGTTTTCGGTTTTTTTAAACCCCAAACTGAATCCAATCCGCAATCCATATTTTAAAATTTTTCCAATCCGATCCAATCCGAATTCAAAAAAAATCCAAACCGAATTACTAATTCGGTTTGGTTCGGTTTTAATCCGAATTACTTTCACCCCAAGATGTGATTTGATCTGATCTGATTTGAATGTTAAATTTGATCAAACTTTGACCTTAGATATACAATAATCTATACAGAAAAAAAATATATCAAGTGGGGGTCTTGTTAGATTTGTAATAATATGTATTTTATTAATATGTGATTTTCATAATTTTTCCATTACGAAATTAAAGCTATTTAGCGATAAAAAAAAACTTGCACATAAAACGATGGTTTGAACTTATTTTTTCTGATCTAATCTGTACTTATTTTTTTTGAAATAAGTAAAAAAAAAAAATAGGGTGAACTAAACAAGACCTAAGGCATGTTCACATTTACTGAACTGAATTGATTGGATCTAAACTGAACTGAAATGAATATTTTATGAGAGAAGGAAATTAGGAGCTGAACTGAACTAAATTTATTGGAGCTTAACTGAACTGAAATTAAGCTGAAGTGAACAGGCCCTAAGTATATAAAATTTAAAATAATTTTATATTATTAAAAACACTTATTGAGACAACTCTACCAAAATTCTACGCGATCATGAATAGTAGCAAAAGCATCTAAATAAAAACGTCAAGAAGAAAAGGTGGGAGTAATTGTATGTTTTTGTTTTTTAGACAAATAATTACTTGAATACAAGAATTACTTTAGACTTTTTATTGATATTTAATTAGAGTCATCTACACAAATTCTTATATGTGGTCATCCATATACCGACTTTCACTTTTTAGTAGATAGTGTGGCCACTTCACATTTAAGCACTTAATTGAATAATGGGATTTACGACAATAATCAAATGGGGTTATTATTACGGCAGGGAGAGGGGCTACTCCAACGGAAAAAGGAGTCACAAATATAATTGTACATTGTATAGTCAAAATAAAATAAGAGGGGTTACTTACTGGAATAAACAAAAGGGGTTATTTTTTTTTTTTAACTAGCCT